GGGGAAGGGGAAGGGTAGGGAGTGAAAAATTAGAGTTTGAGTTTTTATATATCACCTGATTTTTGAAGAATTAAATTTGGTCCCTGATTTTTGAATTTGAAACTTTAAACACCTGGAATTGTGTAATTTCCTCAAAATATAATAAGAAAATTATACAAAATCAGAATTTTAAAGATTCAATTTCAAGAATCGGATTAAAAGTTTCACTTTTCAAAAATCAAATTAAAGGTTTCACTTTTTAAAAATCAAATATTTTATTTTAAATATTAATTGTACAATTTTCATCCCAAACCCGAATTAATTTCATTCAAATTTTCCTCATCTTTCTCTCTTCTCTGTCTCTTCTCACTCTCTCCGTCTTCTTTCCTCCCTATCACTCTCTCTTCTCACTCTCTCTACCTTCTCTCTTCTCCACTCTCCAGTCTCCTCCCTCTCCGTCGGAAGGCCAGCCTCCACCAGACGGTACAGCCTCGTCCGGAGACGTTGTGCACAAACACGAAGTAGCGACACTTATTCGTGCGAATAGCCGTTGCATTTTTTTATTTCTGAGTTTTTTGCAATTTTTACGCAGGGGGGGTCGTGATTTTGTGGTGGTTGATGGACGCCGTGGAGTCGTGATTGCGGTAGTAGTGACGGTGGGATGATGGAGGGTTGTGCACTGCTTTGTGATTGGCGATGGTTTTTGTTGGTGGCGCGATTGTTTTGTTGGATCAGCGGTGGATTTGATGGGGTTTATTGGTTTTGGTAGTGGCGGTGGTGGTGGATCCGGCAGTTAGTGGTGATTTGTTAGTAGTTGTGGTAGTGAGTCATGGTGGTGGTTTTGAAATTGAATGTGGTAGTTTATTGGAGGTTGTGACAGTGGAGACAGTGAAGTGGTGATGCTGCTTTGGGTTGGTGCCATGGTGTATTGTGGTTGTGTGGTGTAGATAGTGGCAGTGTTGGTAATGGTTGGCGACGACGACGGCAATGGCGGTAGGGTTTGGATTTTTTTTTTTTTTGGTCTAAAAAATTGTTAATTTGTGATCAGTAATTTAATAATTTTTGACTGTCTAATAAGCCGTGACATTTAATATTTGTGATTTGTGACCTATAAATAAATTATGATATTTCAATTTTTGATTTGTGACCAATGAACACTTTGTGATCTATAAAATTTTTGAATTGTGATGTTAAAATAATTTGTGATATATAAAATTTGTGATTTGTGACCAATAAACAATATATGACTTATTAATTTTATAAATTTGTGACCAATGAAAAAGTGTGATTTATAAAATTTTCGATTTGTGATTGTGAAATAATTTGTGACTTATAAGTTTTTTTAATGTGACCAAGAAATAATTTGTGGCCAACTAATTTATAATTTGTGACCAAATTATATGAAATTGTGATCTTAATATATTTAATTAATTAATTTATAAATAAAATTTTAAAAAGTTTGAAATTTTAAATTTTAAACTTTATCTCCTAAATTTGAAATTGGGGAAACTTAAGATCTTAGTTATGTAATCTTCCCAAATAAAAATATAAAATGTATTATTGGAAGTTTTGCAGCTGAAATTAGTTGTACAAGTACCCAAATGGAA